CAGGCTGCCGGTTATATTTAGCATGTGCGCGCTGTAGCGTGAAAGAGCTATGAGCTATAAAAATTGTCCGTACGTAGCCGTTGCCAGGTGTTCTCATAGGTATGGGCTGATCGCGAACGTGGTGGTGGGGGCGATTTGGCTGTGATTCGGCTGGTGGCGTACGCGGCGTCGAGAGTCAGCGAGGAAGAGAGAGATAATGCGAGAGAGAGAGAGAGAGAGCGAAAGAGGGAGAGAAAAAAAGAGCGAGAAAGAGAAAGAGAGAGACAACGAGGGAGAGTGAGTGTGAGCGAGCGAGAGAGAGGGAGAGAGAGAGTGCGAAGGAAAAAGAGAGCGAGAGAGACAGAGAGAGAAAAAGAAAGAAAGAGAGAGAGAAAGAGAAAGAAAGAGAGAGACAACGAGGGAGAGTAAGTGTGAGCGAGCGAGAGAGAGTGCGAAGGGAAGAGAGAGCGAGAGAGAGAGAGAGAAAGAGAAAGAAAGAGAGAGACAACGAGGGAGAGTGAGTGTGAGCGAGCGAGAGAGAGAGAGAGAGAGAGAGAGAGAGAGAGAGAGAAAGAAAGAAAGAGAGAGAGAAAGAGAAAGAATGAGAAAGAGAAAGAAAGAGAGAGACAACGAGGGAGAGTGAGTGTGAGCGAGCGAGAGAGAGAGAGGGAGAGAGAAAGAGCGTGAGCGAGAGAGAGAGAGAGGGAGGGAGAGAGCGAGCGCGAGGGGAAGATTAGAGAGAGCGTGAGGGGAAGAGAGAGCGATTTTGTTGTCTATGCCTACCAAATTACCAATGGCTACATGTGCACGTTGACCTATGAGTATTTGGCAGATATAGGATATGTTCTGTTGGGATGTGGCGATACACAGCCGTAGTAAAGCGAAATGAGAATATAGGGACAAGGGAAAATAGGGATGGGGAACATAGAGTGGACCCCCTCCCATGCGCCCGTCACCCCTAGCAGTCATAAACATGCTCCGCATGCACGCGACATCACTTCGCGCTATGTACAGTCATGAAACA